TATATATATATCCTGTTGATTACTAGTTAGGATGATATGAGTTCATTGGGAAACCAAAAAATGATTGCATGCTGTTTTGTCCACACCACTTCCATTTATTTGTTTAATATTAATCAACATCGGGACTGTCTTGAATTGTGTTTGTATGAAGTTGCACCAAGGCTGTAACTCAGCTGTAAATATTTTTTAGAATAATTGCATACAAAAATTCTGATTATCTTGTTTCATTTTAAATGTGTTTTAAATTAAATTGTTTGTGGTTGTACCTTTAGCTTTTGGTTGCAGGTACGTTTGATTTTTGTTTTGAGTACTTGTGTGCTTTAGATGTTCTTGGCTTATTTTGGAGAGACATTACATAATTTTTTTCTGTTCCAGCTTTCCATCATGGCCATGCAGAGACGCCACTCTACCGCTTTTCTCTGTCCGACGGCACCCAAATCACAGCTCAGACGAAGACCGACCTCTGTAGGAATCCCAACACAAATGAGCCGCACTCCTTCCTGTCCACACACTTACTACAAAGGTGAACTGGTGGAAAAATCAGAATGCGGTGTTACTAAACTTTAGTCACGGTTTACAGAATTATAAAGCCGAACTTTTTGTTGTTTTCTACAGGGAGCACAGTGGTTATCGTGGAAACCAGAGTGGCGCCATGAGGCCCCAAAACCTGGGCATGAAYAACCCCAACCAGCAGATGAACATGGGCCCAGGAGGCAACATGGGCATAAACAGAGGTTATAGCATGACCGAACAAGGCAACATGCTGCAGAGAGGTGTGCCTCCCTACTCTGGAGGCGGCCGCATGAATCCCATGAATCAGATGAGTCACATGCATCAGATGAATCAAATGAACTCCATGCATCAGATGAACAAAATGGGTCAGATGAATCAGATGAGTCCCATGCATCCAATGAACTCGATGAACCAAATGGGATCCATGAACCAGATGAATCAGATGGGTCACCATGGCATGCACCATCAGCAGCACCAGCATCAGCAGATGGGTCCGTTTCATGGAGGAGGAAGTGGAGGATACGGGATGGTTATAACCAGCCCTAATCAAGCCAGTCCAGGGATCAATGGTCCTTCACACAATGTCATGGGTTCACCCAGAGTTCGAGGAAGCCCCCAGACCGGAGCCAGTCCCTTCTCTCCAGGAGGTATAGCCAAAACACAGGTTTAATAGAGTTTATGTTACTGGTTATTTATCTTTTTGTTCACTCTGTTAATTGTCCTTTGCAGCCATGAGCTCTCCCATGAGCTCCACTCACCCTGGAGGTGGAGCAGGAGGAGCCGCTTTCTCCAGCAGCTCGTTGAATGCCCTACAAGCCATCAGTGATGGGGTTGGCAATCCAATGCCTGCGCCCCTCACATCTCCTCCCCCTCACAAGCCCGACACTTCCCCGAGCATCAACTCCACCAATCAGCCAGCAGGGGGGCCCTGCAAGGCTGGTCTCCCACCTTACTCTGAGTCCAAGAGCCCAGGCAGCTCGCTAGGAGCCTTGGCAGAGCAGCAGCACCCACAGACCCCTACCAACGAGGGCCCCGCCGACAAGCTGGACAGCCAGGCTTGCCACGTCGGGGTGGAACCCAGCCGACGGGGCTCTGAGAACAGGAAACTCCTGCAGCTCCTTACGTCCCCCACAGATGAGATTGTGCCACCCAACCAAGCCCCGAGCTCTGCACCCACGCCTGACTCTAAAGATGGAGCAGCTGGGGTCATCAGCCCCTCCTGTTCCTCCACCGCCGTGTCCTCATCCACAAACGGCAGTCACGGTGCTGTGTTGTCCTCTGGTAGCTCTGGACACTTACCCAACCAGTCCCTGCAGGACAGGCACAAGATCCTCCACAAGCTCCTGCAGAACGGGAACACTCCTGATGACGTGGCCCGCATCACAGCCGAGGCCACCGGGAAAAGCAGCCTGGATTCAGGGTCACCRGAGCCCGCGTCCTCTGGCGGGGCTAAGGGATCAGAATGTAAGAAGGAGCAGCACAGCCCGAAGAAGGAGAAACCTCACGCCCATCTTCATTACCTGCTCACCAAAGACGACTCTAAGGATGGTGGGGATGTGAAGCCCAAGCTGGAGGACTGGGACAGCAGGGGAGCTCAGGGAGAGGGAGTCACCAGCTCGGACCCCCACTGCATGGATGGCAAGGTGAAGCTGGAGCCATCTGATGAGGTAGAAATCCTGCTCAGGTTTACTTTTYGGCACGTTTTCGAGCGACTGCTTTCATTTTTTGTCCATGTTTCAGACGGAGACACTGGAGACCATTTTGGGCGTCAGAGAAAACAACTCAAGCTTCTTTTCTAAAGCAGAGTCTAGAGTCGCAAAAGAAATGGGAAACAAACAGGGAACTATTCATGACAGCTTACACGGTAAGACTCAACTGATTATATCAATAAATAATAGGTGAAAAACATAAATGGTCACAGTGGGTTATTTAGTCTGTAGCAGTTGTAAAAAGCATCCTGAACCTGTTATTGTTCATGTCCCAGAAGGGGAGAGAGCCCCCCTACCAGGTCAGCGTGGACCCTTTCAGAGAGCCCTGTCTATGGATTCTAAGCCTTTAAGTGAAGAAATGGCAGTAAGAGGTGGACTGGCAGCAAGACGGAACGTTCCCTGTCCCGCTCCACTCAAACAAGAGAACATGGATGTTCCAATCCGGTCGGGRAGTATGCCCAATGGTTTTACTGGAGGCATGGGTGTGTGTTCACCGCGGGGCAATTCAACAAGTAATTTTACAACTACTTTGTCTAAAGTACTACAGTATGCAAATATCAGTCCTGCTCTTCTATTATTGGTTAAACTCACCTCCTCTGTGAAAATACAGACGTTTCTAATGCTGCATGCAGATTTTAAAGCTGCTCCTGAAACTCTAGAAATCTTTTGTTCAGGAGGTGTAGGCAGAGGGGTTCAACAGCGCCCTCCCATGGCGGGGCCAGGAGACTGGGGCCTACCCAGGTCTGGCAGCAGCCCTGTTTCAGGACCAGGACATCCAGGCATGGGTCAGCCTGGCCACATGGGAGCACCAATCATCAACCGCTCCAACAGCGTACCTGGAGCCACCAGATCTATGCTGCAGCAGCAGCTCATGGAAATGGGTATATTGGGTTATGTACATTACTTAAATATATTCTTGCTTTTTAAATTAAACAATTTGATGTGTATTAAAGTAAAATAAAAATCTGAGGTGGCATGTAGAATTTATTAAAAAGTATGGTTTATGACATCATGTTCAACTCAAGGTTTTTATTCAGTTCATGTCAAATAAAAAAAAATCACCCACTGTTTTCTCGGAAGGTCCTAATGAATCCAATATGGGCATGAGCCCATTTGGTGGACACGGACCCCCACCTCAGTCCCCCTCCTGGCCTGACTCTGCCATGGGAGTGGACAGACCACAGAGTAATACAAACAGGTGTGTATTTTTCTACTTATTGTTCTTGATCTGTACTACTAGATAAATTCAGATAAATAATCACAGTTCTGACTGCAGGTATGATTGACAGATGTAACTTAATACTTTCTGTGTTGTTGGTTGGTTAGGGACCAGTTTGTGCACCCCCTGGGAGAGCAACTGGGACCCCTGGCCAGTAGTGAAAATCCAAGTGATGAAAGAGCCCTTCTGGACCAGCTGAACTCTCTGCTCAACACTACCGATGTCGTGGCTCTGCAGGAAATAGACCGAGCCCTGGGCATCCCTGAAATAGTAGGACAGGTAGGAGGAGGACCTGTGTGGTTCTTAGGCAGTAGATTTCTGTCCACGCTGCTGCTCGCTTTTACAGGATCTCTTGTTTTGCACCAGGCACAAGGACCCGAAGGCCACCAGCAGGTCCAGGATCAAGGTCAAGGCCTCTGCCCGCCATCAGAGCCCTTCCCTGGTCATGACTCTGCAAGAAACATGGACCAAAAACCCATGTATGGCCAGGGCTACCCTGGCCCCCCGGTGCCCCCTTCCATGGGAATGCAGCCTGGTTATGGTGGAAACACAATGCTGGGTCAGTCTCCTGCAGGCTTCAACCCTGTGATGAATCAGATGGGCCAGGCAAGGAGCTTCCCCGGCATGGGGGGCATGGCCAACCCCCGTGCAAACATACCAAGACTTCGCATGATGAATCCCACCCAGCAGCTTCGTCTGCAGCTACAGCAGAGGCTGCAGGGTCCACAGGTGAGCTCACGTTTACCCTCCGAATGTTTCAGTTTATTATAAATGTCCAAAAGCAAACCAGCACATTTAACCCTGCTTTGTAATATTTAGTTTATGAATCAGTCACGACAAAGCATAAAGATGGAAAACACCCCCGGAGAAAGCCCTGTCATGCGCCCAGGCATGCAGCCYGGCATGCAGCCTGGAGGAATGAGCGCTCAGGTACGAGTTTCCTGCTTTACTTGGTGCTTCTCATAAAAGTAGACAAATTATTAATCCTGGAGGATCTCACAAAACTAAAATAAAATAAATATTTTGCTGATTAAAAAAAAAGACTAAAATTGTGGAGATTTTTAACGAATGACCCTTTAAGTGTTTAAATATTGTTTTTATTATATATTTTTTCCTGCTGAGACAGCTCTAAAAGATTGACATGTTTATTGTTAAAAAAAAGAAAACTTTTTTTGTAGTATTTTAGTTGCGTAAGGCCGTCATTTTTAATTTTTTTAAATTCTCCCCACGGTTCAAAAATGGTCATAAAGTTAAAGGACAGTCTGAGGATTAACGTGAAGCATGGTGTCTGTCTGCAGCCTGGTTTCATGAGTGCACAGATGATGGCTCAGCAGCAACACACCCTTCAGATGAGGAGGCAGAGGATGCTGTTGATGATGCAGCAGCAGCCRCAGCAGCAGGGTCAGGCAGCAGCAGGAGGCTTCAGCCCTCCTCCTAATGTAATCGCACCTATGGACAGCCCCATGGGAGCGCCCCCCATGACCCAGTCTGGACAGCAGGGCTTCAACTATGGAGGTAGCTATGGTGAGTGGACCGTTTCTGAGCCAGCCGTCTGCGTCGCTCGCTTGTACTGCTCAGGTTTCTCACTTTACTCTTGTGTTTGCAGGAATGAACCAGCAGGGGGACTCATCATTCATGGCTGCAGGCAGCAGTCCACCCAGAAATATGATTCAAGGACGAATGGGTGGTCCTCCACAGAACGCCATGATGCCAGGGATGCAGGGGAATCCTCAGGGAGGACACATGTACCAGTCTGGAGACATGAAAGGCTGGCCACAGGGTGGCATGCCACGCAATAAGTGTGTATCACCCCTTTATTAGTCAGTGTATATTCTAGGGTTTTGTAAAGGAACATTTATTAACACACATGTCTCATGTTTCTGTTTTTCCAGCCCTTATCCTCAGCAACAGTTCCCCCAGCAGGGCAATCAGGGCCAGTTCGCACCCATGATGATGAACAGCTCGATGAGTGGACCTGGACCAGTCAGTGGCTCTGGTTCGGCTCCGATGGCTCAGATGCCAGGCCAGATGGGCATGAACCCAATGGGAATGGGCAGAATGCCAATAGGACCTGATCAGGTAAGATGATACAATAAATATTTACYGTATTTTCTGGACTATAAGTGGCATCAGAACAGACTTTTAATCTGGATTAACAATAAAACAGAGARTAGCTCCTGGGATGCTCAGTAGCTTTAATTAACAGACAGGTGACACAGATTAGAGGCTTCTCTAACTTTTTGGGTCTGGGGACCCCTTACAAGGGTGAAAAGTCGTCAGGGGTCCCCCTATAAACCCCATGCTGTTTTAATAATTATCTTAACCCCTAAATGGCATGGGAATATTAGTTTTTGTTTGCTTTAGTATGATTGTTTTACTAGTCCATTGTTCCCCATATGATTTTTTTTTTTTGACAATTCATTTAAATTATTTGGGGACCCCAAGATACGGCTTGCGGGGTCCTCTGTTTGAGAACCTCTAGATTAGAGTAACTTTATGTGAATGTTTGCTCTGTAACTTAATGTTTTTCACAAACAACCTCGGCAAGCTACYAAAAAARGTTACCAATCAACAACAAGCTAACATTGGCTTATCGTTTTCTTTTGTCCTCTAAGAGTCATACTGCTGGGTGGTCCTGTACAGTCTTCTGTACTTTTTCTTTGAGTTTGGTGTGCTCCATTATTGTTGTGTCACAAATAAAGTGAARTAAGTGTCACATRTTTGTATYATTTTGATCCCCACCCACATCGAGRCGTCTCTCTGCCTCAGACACAACCAGGGACAGGGTAAAATAAGACCTATAACCAGCCAGGGCTGTCCAACAGGCAAGTTACCTGTAAGGTCACCTTTCTCCATCCACATCATGCAATCAGTTTTCTTCTTTTCATCACTTCAAACTTTCTTTCTGCTGCTTTTTTTTAAAACTGCTAGGAACAACATAAACCACAGTCATCAACCCTAGAGCGCCCTCTTGTGGCTGCAGATGTTTACTCCTAGGTTCATGTCTGTCAGTGTGAACTAACATTGAATGCATCAGTCAAAAAATGCATCATGAAGAGGAAAAAAACCTACAAGTCACACCTGASTATAAGTCGAAGCCAAACGATAAAACTTAACGTCCAGAAAATACAGTATTTTTACAGCGTGCTGGAGGATTTTGGCTCCTGTGTTTAACTCCTGTTCTGTTTTTGCAGAAGTATTGCTGAGAGTCCCGCGGCTGACTCCTAACAGTGGAACTGTGGACTGGACTATGATGGGAACTACACACACACACACACACACACAGCAGGAGTGCTAAAACAAAAAAAAACTGAACTTGAATACTCAGCACAGCGACTCTGCTGCAGAAGAAGCGAGGACTTAATTTGTGCTAAGTTTCAGTTCCAGTAGGAGCCTTGTAAGCACAAAGATAAAAACACTCAGTGTGTGTGAGGGTGTGTGTTTCTGTGGCTAACTGGAAGCTGTCGGGCAGTATTCAGCATCACAGCCAGCCTACACAACAGGACGATGGTACAACTGGCTGTGGCTGCACTTTACCTGGAAGCTTCTTTATGTTGGAGGGGGGGCGGGAGGGTTAAACAAAAAGATTGATGCAATATTTTTATCATGACAGCCTTACGAGAGATTCAATGCCTTTACAAGAATTGGTTTATTCTGTTCTTTTTCTGCTCTTCTGTCTGATTGGAAGCTATAAGCACACAGTTAACTGTAAGGTTATGGAGATTGGAGCAATAATTCTTGCCTCTTATGCTTTCGACTGTAGCTGAGCATCAGAARCCCTGTTTTAAAAGATGGTACTGCAGTATTAGACGACTCAATTGTCTTCTGTAATTATAAATTGTAAATATTCGACAAAAGTATAACAGCCGTGCTTTTTAAAGCCCAATTCTTGCACAAAATATGAGACTTGGTTGTAATTTTGTTTCTCATAGGTCAAAGCTGATTTGATTGATTTTGCCTGTTTTAACGTTTGCAGATATTTTAGGCACATTTGGGGTGTTATGTTCTTGTCATTTTCTGAAACCTTTGTTTTTTTTTTTATCTTCCCAAAAAGCTATGTATTTTATCGTTTAACAAAGCACTTTTTTATCAAAGTATCTGATGTGTTGAACATTTGATACTGTTGGAGGTTTTATAGGAAGGTGTTTAAAGTGACGTAAGACGACATGAACTAGTTAAAAAGATTTTTTTTTTCTGTGTGGGTTTTGTTTGCAGATTTCTGACTTCTCCACCTTTTTTCACAGAAGCTCCTTCAAGCTGTTCTTTTCACACGTGTTCTTTTGACTGTTAGCAACTCGCTGAATCTACCTTTTCAACATGCGCAATCCAAAGATATTTTTCCACATCTATGTATAGTTTGAGGTTTCTGGTGTACATTTTTTTATAAGATGTGTATGTTTTATTCAAATGGTAAATGGGTACATATCATGGATCTGTAAAAGCATAAGATGGTTCTGAATGTGGAAGAAGTTGCTCGCCTGTCTAAACGCTGCAGGCAGAAGAGGACCTGACAGTCTGAACTCCTGCGGTCTGCTTTTTTGAATCCTGGAGGATGAAAAAACTTTTTCTTACATGAAATAGCAACAGAGTGAAATCCACTTTAAAACATATCAATAATTCATGAATTTTTCAGGAAGCAGCATCATTTTCTGATCAGGTTTTGTTACTTCAGGACAAAAAGGAACTTGTTTGGAGGTGAGATAAGATGTCGTTTTACAGGATGTATATTACAGATGTTTTTTTCTGTTGATGTTCATATTCATGTAAATACAAGTTTATATTTAAACACTCGACTCTGACTCTATAATTACCTGCCTGTCATTTTTCTGCCCTTGCTGTTGTATGTATAAAGCTAATGCTCCAGGTTTAAATAATTAGTCTGCTCTAATGAAGAAATATTGACTGCAGGAGAAGTTCCACTGAGTTACTGAGTATTGCTAATTATTTGGACCCCAGGAAGAGGGGTCTCTGGTGAGGAGACTAATGTAGATCCTTTTTTTTTTTTTTGCCACTTCAGTAGAAAACAAAACTGAACGTTAGTTTATTTAAAAAAAAAAAAAGAAAAAGTAGAAGAGAAGTATAAGAACAGTAAAGAGAGAAACCGATAGAAATTATACAACATGTGAAATAAACACCAATAACACACAGGACACCACACCCGACATCTGACCATCAGCAAATGAAGAGAACAAACACCCAGCAACCAAACCTAAACAGATGTACATGTATGTGCATATACCCATACGCACATATATAAATAAATACACATATACACATTCACACCTACGTACAATAATTATAACCTCGTTAATTAATATACACAAAACACATGCACAACCAGGCACATACACGTACAAACATTCACATATACACACATTTACATACATACATACCTACATAGACACACCCATACATACACCCAAACATACACACATACAACCACACACACACACACACACACATATATATACACATACACATACAGTATATACTTCCAGTGATTGTCAGAAACACCAGGATCCAAATGTCTATTTTTGTGCGGTTGTGAACATGCATATAAATACAAGATTTCTCCAGTGGAATATTAAATAGTGACTGTGGAGGACCACATACCCGACCCCCAAGACCCAAGGCAAACATAAGGGGGACCAGAGCCCCAGATCCCGAGAGAGACCCCAAGCACTGAGACCCCAAGGCCACCTGCGCAGCGAGAACCACCCCCCCACCCCCAGAGAGGAACACAGGAGAGAACCAGGAGAGCCCCACCAGCAACCACACGTAAAACTCCCAGGGCCAACAGCTACGACCACAGGCCCCGCTGGCCCCCACCACGCTGGAGCAGAACCAGGCATGGACACAGAGACCTGGATCCACAGGGTGCACCCCCCCACCACCACCACCAGGCCAAGGCCCGACAGGGCCAGAGGACCCAAGCCCCACCAGGCAGCCACCAGGCCGAGCCGGCACATGCCCAAGCACTCAGCCCCAGACGTTGAGAGCCACCAGCACACCGGCGGACAGAGGCACCCCCCCACCAGAGGGCAGGGGGGCCAGGGGCAGAGCCCACCACTAGTAGAGGGCTCTYGGGTGAACCAAATGAGGGGGCAGCCCCAGTCCCAGCCAGACAAACACTCAATCATACACAAACACAATCACACAGTCCCACCCTCATTCTCACTAATGTGGATCCTAACAAATAAACTAATTTCATGATTGTCAAAAGCTTTTAAAAATATTCTTGCACTGAGACATGGCAAGTATAAGTAAACTGAAATTTGTGTTGTACTCACCGAAGCACACGGTAAACAGACTTTCAATTTCAAATAGAGAAAAATGCAAGTGCAGCTCAAAATGTGTGAATATATTTGAAAAGTTTTTTTTTGTCAGTTCAGAAAGTTAAACTCATTACTGTACACAGATTCATTAGTCATATTTACTTCAAAACTATTGTCATTTTGATGAGTCCGTCTTAAAAAATGAAAAAAAAAAATACAACATGCAGAGTCTCAGAAAATTAGAGTATTTTCACTAATAAGATCAATTTTTAAAAGGACATTTTAAATGCAAATGTCAGATTTTTAAAAGGTTTGCTGGTCAGTCAAACAATAACATCACGGTCATTGAACCAGCTTTGCTACTTTGGCAGTCTGAGCAGGTGCTGCTGGAAAACTGGTATTTATTTATTTCAAACTGGTTAAAACAGACTTAAAGCAGACAGCATGGATGAAAAAACAACACATACAAAAAGAAAAGTTAAAACACACAGACAGGCACAAAAGTAGAAACTAAAGATAATATAAAACRTTGCACACAAATCAGTACCTGACTAAATGAAGAACATGTCTGTTTTATCTCTTGGAAAAGGAGGATCAAAGTGTTTTGTCTTAATATATTGCWTTAGTATTTCATTGATCATATCTACACAATGTATAAACCTATCTGAGGAATAAGTTCAAAACAAAACTATTCACAACCCCATAAGCATACATACATTATTATTTGAGTCAAAATGTTCTCTGCCTATTTATTATTTATTGAATCATTTACTTTTGTAAAGCGATTCAGGATATTTTTGGGGTTAAAATACATTTTGATGCTTTTTCTGTGATTTACATAACTTTCCTGTTTTCTTGTATTTACTTTGAACCTTTTCTGTTCTACAATTTAATTACTTGTTTTTCCTCCATTTTTTTCCAACAATCTCAAATATTTAACATTTTTAGGCTGTAATATACAACATACCCAAATTTCTCAATTTTTAAGAGTATACAGTATTTGTGCACAACAATTTGGTTAGAAAAACTTACACATGATTGAACAAATACAGCCTTAATGTGACAAGAGCAAACTAAAACCCTGCATGTCATTTTCAGCTGTTATTATTATATGTATGACATCATAAATGTTGAAATCAGGTCAAAGTTACCTAAAGACAACAAAAGAGCTGCAGCTGTGTACTTAACCAGCTCATTCCTATTGTGTTGGAGCAAATGATGTCATTTCATTGGGGTGGGGGTGGGGATATATGGACTGGATCTAATTATTGTGAAGATCATAACCCCCCTAACTCCCCTGCAAATTACACCCATAAACAGCAAAAGTATCAAAAACTGGTTCAAAGACCCCATGGTGTTATTGTGCTTGCAGCAAACTGGTCTGATCTGGGCCTGTATTTATAAAACTTCTCAGAGTGGATTTTTAGACTTACAGCGGGTAAAATAAGTATTGAACACGTCAACATTTTTCTCAGTAAATATATTACTAGAGG